CCCCAAAACCCCAAAACCCCAAAACCCCAAAACCCCAAAACCCCATAGCTCAATTATTTTTGAAGTTATTGGATTTATTAAGATTTATTTCAAAAATATTTAATGAGCAAATCATATAATAATCACTTTGATTCAAGTTCAATTATTTAATTACATAGATTGAATTAGGTGTGTTATGGTCCCAAAGACTACGAATTCTTTTACTGATGAAGGCTTCAATGACGTCTCCGGCTTTACTGATTAGGTAATTTGAAACAAATATATCAATTAGGATAAACAATCAAGCTAACAAACCCAATCATAGGATTAAAATATGCTTATTCAAAAGACAACAAAGCTATCTGACTTAACTAGTATGCAATATAAAGAAGATGAAATAGATGAAGAAGAGACAAAGCCTCTAAATTTAAATAGACATTTTAAATTTAGTTGGAAAAAACTATGGCAATTCTCTGGTCCTGGACTTCTAATGTCTATTGCATATTTAGATCCAGGAAATAGTAAATCTATATTTATAACTTAATCAATAATCTAGTTGCTGGAGACCTTGACGCAGGCAACTCAGCAGGTTATAGGTTACTCTGGATTTTACTGACTTCTACATGCCTAGGATTATTTTTTTAAATCTTAGCTGCAAGATTAGGAGTAGTAACATAGAGAAATTTGGCAAGAAACTGCAGAGAGCAATTTCCGAAGCATGTAAGGATTATCCTTTGGCTGATGACTGAAGTGGCTATTATTGGCTCTGATATTCAGGTATTTATTACTGAAACTCAATTATTTCGCAGGAGGTCATCGGATCATCAATAGCTTTTAATATTTTATTTGGCATCCCAATTTGGGTAGGAGCTATAATTACTATCCTCGATTCTTTTATTTTCCTATTTATTCATTATTTCGGTGTTCGAAAATTAGAGGTAAGATTTATCCTTAATTTAAAATTTAGGGCTTTTTTGCATTCCTTATTGGAACTATGGCTATTTGCTTTTTCGTAAATTTTTTCATTGTGGGGCCTGACGTAGGGTCTGTATTTTTTGGTACTTTTGTGCCAACAATTCCTTCAGGAACTTTGTCTTAAGCGATCGGATTAGTAGGTGCAGTAATAATGCCGCATAATCTTTACTTGCATTCTGCTTTAGTTTTGTCCAGGAAAATCGATAACAAAAACTAGAAGCAAGTTTATGAGGCTAATTATTATAATGCGGTCGAAAGTGGAATATCCCTTTTTGTTTCATTCTTAATCAACTTCTCAGTTGTTGGAACTTTTGCATATTATCATGATAAGGGGCTTGATGATCTTAATTTAAGATCAGCTGATGTTGCTTTAGAATAGGCATTTGGCAATGCTGCTAGAATTATTTGGGGTATTGGATTGCTAGCTGCTGGACAATCATCAACAATGACTGGAACATATGCTGGTCAATTCGTTATGGAGGGTTTCTTTGACATAAAGTTGACAGTATGGAAAAGAGTTCTTGTAACTAGAAGCATTGCAATTCTTCCTGCTTTGGCAGTGGCTTTTATCCAGGATTTCGACGATGTTGACACATATCTAAATATTTTGCAAAGTATCTAGCTTCCGTTTGCACTTATTCCTCTGCTAAAGTTCACTTCATCGCCTAAAGTTATGGGCAAGTTTTCCAATGGAAAATGTCCTATGTACTTCTCTGTAATCATGGCATGTTTCTTGTTTGCGATTAATGTTTACAATTTGATTCCTATTGGAGGTAATAAATTTCAAATAATTAAGCATTTTTTAGTTGCTGGCTGGATTTATGCCCCGTTTGCCATCGGATTTGCTCTCTATTTAACTTTAATCATTATTGTCATAAGAACTCCAATTTATCAACTAAAAGACTTGGAAGAAGAATATGATGATGATCAAATTGCAAAGATAGTAAGCAAATTTAAATCTTTAATATTTATAGACAATCGCTGACTATGAGACTGCTTCAAAGAGTTAATGAAATATTGTTAATAAATGGCTAAAAAATATAAAATTCTCTCAGAATTGCATCTTAAAATATTACAGAAACACTAATTATCCTTAATACTTAATTAATTTATGTTAATGATCTATTCAGATAGGGGTTTTGGGGTTTTGGGGTTTTGGGG